ATCCCTCTCCTCATTACTGTGCACTCCAGATTAATTGTCTCTGAGGCAGAATCGGTTCTGCTCCCAAGCTGACTTCATACATTTTTACTTAGAACTGATTTGAAATGCAGTTTAGCTACTACCAGCTGCTAAAGTCCAGTTCAGCTACTGTGAACTTGATGCTTCCTTGATGTTTGTCTCAGTTCACTCACACTTGCTGTTTCCCCAAAACATCCTAGATGAGTTTAGTTGTTCCTTAGGCTTGGGGATCTACCTTTCATTTTCAATGATATTGATAGAAACAGGGATATCTTAATGCTGCATTTTTATCTCTGCATTTTTAGAGATAGTGTTATTTCAGTTTGTTTGCAACACTTCTAGCAATCTTTCGGTTTTCCATGCATTACCAAAAGCAGAAGTTAGTCAGTCTGAAAAATGACATAACAAGTGACTCTGGTCAAGTGTTTGAGTGAGTCATCTGCAGAGGAGTTGAGGGTAATGGAGGTGAGACATGGGTTGTTCTCATTTTTCAATCACTTTTTGGAACCTCCACTGGGAGTGGAGAAAGGGCTGCAGAACACTTGAAGTCTGCCACAAGACTAAATAGAGAGGGGGGCCTCTTGCCAGGTTTAAACTTGTGCAGCAGTCTGGCTCTCTGCTGGAAAATTGGTAGGTGTTTAGGAATGGAAGAGTGACAGATGCCTGGAGTACTACCAAAAATCATGTTTGCATAAAGCAACACTATTGCAGCAAAAATTTGGTAAACAAAGAACATAAGACTATCAGCGGAGAACGATGTTGACCTTATGTGTTATGGATCATTAGCTCATTAGGCCTTTTATAATGGTGTAGACTGCACAATACCAACCTTCACGGTGTTTACTAAAAGTATTGTTGTACTAAACAAGGGTAAGACTAATGGAATGAGTCTTACACAACCTTGTTGGCCATTAGCCCCGCTACTCAGTAACTTTTATGACATCAAACTCAATAGTGGGGTAAGACATAAACCTACAGCTTCAGTAAAAGCTGGTAAATACACAGCCCAGAGATCCAGATTAGTGCTGTCACTCAGGGAAATGAAATGTAGTCCATATTCAACCCCTACAGAGCTGCTGGCCAAGCAACATGCACACATGTCCAGATACTAACCATGGTATGCTTCTTGCCCTTTCTTCAGAGCCATGGCTGCAGAACGGCTGCTCATGGTAGACAAGCAGGAGATGTAGGAGCCGTTACCACAATAAAAGCTGTCC